TCTGAAATTTATTTTTTGTATGTTGTATAAGGCATTATTCTAAAAAGATGATATTCCTGTAGCCATTTTCTCCAATAACATTATTGAATGCCCTTCCAGTTGGTTTGGTTTAGAACAACTTCATTTTAAGGTTAATGACCACTCCAACTTATTTTCTCTCAACTGGCATTTTATTACTTCTGGTCTTTATATGTAAGTGTCTACTGTATTAAAAAAATAGATAAGACTAGCAGCTCAGAATCTGATATATTAGTTTAAAATTTCATAATTTTTAAAATAACAGTTTGAGTGCAAATATACCTCATTTTGTATAACATTTTTAATAATTTTCTGATGAAGTTAACGTTGAACATATAGTCAGAATGTGTATTCTGATATCACTTTAATTTGTTTTAATAGCACCTTATTGCCAAAGGCTCTATGTATGAAGAACTTGTATCTAGAACTGAAGATACTTTACACATGGATGTACAAAATATCTCAAGCCAGGAGTCCCTACAACATGTTCTCACTGCTGCACTACAGGCAAAGATTCAAGAAGCTAAAGAGAAAGTTCAGGTCTCTCTTCAATATTCCTTATTTAGTGAACTTATTTTATTTTTATTTATTTATTTTTTTTTTTGGTGGGACCTCGCCAGTGGCCGGGGATCGAACTGGTGCTGCAGAGGCTGCAGGCAGCCTCACAACCCAGCGCTCAACCGCTGCGCCACCAGGGGAGGCCCTATTTAGTGAATTTGATCTTTAAAACCTAGTGGTCACTGGGTCAGGGGGGAGCATAGGAGGAGGGTTGCTGTGTTAGGAAATGTTCTGCAAAATACTGCTTTTGCATTAGTTTTTATTTCTTTATAATTCAGCACATAATGGAAAAGAGTAGTATAATAAATTACTCTATGTCTAATGGAAAAATACAAGTTGCTATTCAAAAAATGTACTGAATTTACTGAAAAGTGGGGCCAAGAGTTGAGAATTTTCTTGTCTTCACAGATTAGTATGGTCAAATTGGATGCGGTGTTGAAGAATTCAACTGAGGTTTCACCAGACCTGGATGTCAGGCTGAAAGTAGAAGAATCACAGAAGGAACTTGAATCATACATTACAAGGGCTGAGCAGCTCCTTGGCCAAAGAGACAGCCAGAGTGAACTGATTTCAAAATATAAGGTAGTCTCATTTAACCATTAAATGTAGACTATTTATTATTAGCTGCCTATCCCATTTGAAATCAAGATGTTTCCATCATTGTAATGACACACCGAGTTAGGGTAACTTTTAAAAATTTCCCATTTTATATGTTGTTCCTGGGGGCAATTAAAAATAATCGTTCAGGGCCTCCCTGGTGGCACAAGGGGTTAAACCTCAGCCCTGTGAAGCTATTGGCAGCTACTGCAGCATGAGTTCAATCCCTGGCCAGGGAGCTAACCAACGTGGGACAGCAGACCTCTCCTGTCTCACCTGCTACTCCCCTCAGCAATATATTTCGGTCAGTCTGCTTGTTCTCCTCCCCACTCTGTCTCTGGTGAATCTTCTCACTCCCCACACCTCTGGCCTACACCCCAGTTCTTCTATGCCTAAATAAATTTAAAAAACAAAAAAACCCTATTCTTTAAAAAAAATCATTCAAATGAAGATTTTTTTTAAATTCAGATTTTATTATAGACAGAATGGACATGATGATAACAGTGTAAAGAGCATGGTTGATTTCATGGCATTCAGCACAAGTTTAGTTTCTCTAATTTTTTTCAGTGGTAAAATGGTCATAAAAATTCAAGCCCTATTCACCTGCCAGATTTGCTATGAAGTTTTAAATGAAAATAAAGCATGTGAAAACACTTTAAACAGTTGAAATTCTCTGACTGTAAAGAAATATTTTTATTATCAAAATGTGCCATGATAAAAGTTATTTTTGGACACATGCTTATCAGTAGCTAAAGATCCGCCCACGTTCTGTCTATGCAGACAGTTTCAGGTTGATTTTTTTTCATGGTCTGACTGGCAGCTTAAGATGCAGCCACAGCAGAGACTCACTGTTAATTAACACCGTGGGATGTGCTGGGGGTGAAGGAAAGTAAAACAAGGTCACTGTCCTCGGACAGGGTAGAGTAGTCTGTTTTCATTCATTCATTCAACCTTTAAAACATTTATTGACCATTTAAAATGAGTTAGTTAGGTGGTTTGGGGTTGTAAGGATGAGGTAAAGCTATAATCCCACACCCCAACTTCCAGTCTTTTTAGAAAATAAGCGCCCATGGGAACCTCTCTTCATGCCCCTTGTGGCCTCTTACTGTTTTATGGGCCTCACCCCATTTTGGCTTTTTGGATTAGTAACCCCGTACTGGACCCTATTATCAGCTATTTCATCATTGCTTTTTCCATGATCTCAAAAGGCCTCACTTGCTGGATCCTATGCCACCGATTCTGACCAATTCCCTGTCTTTTCTTCCCCAACTTTTACTCCCAGGTTGCTGAGATTGTTGAACTGATTCACAGGTTGTTTTGAATAAATACTAGGCTGGATTGCAGAAGGACAGATACAGCCAGCTCAGGAAAGGGAGAAGGAAAAGAACAAATAGAGGCTCCAGTGCCCTTCTCTACCAGAGAGAAGAGAGAGAAGTGTCTGTTCTTACACCATTTTCCTCTCCCTGACCACCTTTTAAAATCTGAAGCCACACCGGGGAGGGAAGAACATAAGGGGCTGTGGTGATGGATCAGGGCTGCTATAGTGGTGGGGGGACTACAGGGGCTACACCTCAGGGGAGAAATCAATTACTGTCCAAAAATTAACGACAAGGTAAAAAAAAACTAATTTTAAAAAACAAATAAAAAATAAAATCTAAAGCCAGGGGGTTTGTCTTTTTCTCTGACATTCAGTGAAATAGATTCCTTTTCACAACATTAGCAAAATCCTTACCCTGAGACCCACAAGATCCAGAGAAGCACGTGGGTTGTGGGAGCACTCCGCCAGCATGTGGGGTACAGTGTCTCCCTGGTCATACATTTAGTAACCCCACCCCAGCCGGGCCTTAGGTCCCTTGGGGCTCAGTGCTAGATCTGTTTATCCAAGGGTCCATAATAAATACATAACGAGTGTATGAATGGACTTTCATCCTGCTTAACTTGCCTTTTCCCTCAGAATTATTCATCTTTTTGTCTCCTGCAGATTTTTTGCCTCTGTCACAGGTTTAAACTATTTTCTGTTCTGATATTTGCTGATCATAAGCCAGGTTTCTGCCCTCATAGACTAGTGCAGGTAATAGTAGGAGCAGGTAGTGTGAGGTGAGGCACAAACACATTCCTAGTAGGCAGTTCCCACCACCCTGCTCTGCTGCTTCTCCCCTGGGGCAGAACTGCCCACCAGCCTGGTTCTGGGCAAAACTTTGCAGTTGATAAGATCTGTAGGGTAAATAAAAAGTATCAGGCTTTTCTGTCCTCCCGCCATTAGGATCGATGATGGATCCCTGCCGTCCTGAATGCATGCCTGATGGCGGGCACCTGGAGTAGGGTGTGGACATGCGTAGATGGGATTCACCTGGGCTGAGAGACTGGGCTTATAAGGGTGGTGTCACGGGGACGCCAGCAGAGCGGAGAACCACAGAAGAAGCAGAGAGAACGAGAGTGGAAGAGAGTGAAAGAGAAGTTAGAGGCCACAAGAAAATGCCAGAGAGCCCAGATAGAGTGAAGACTTGATGGGGGCTGGGAGGCCTGCCAGCCTCCCGGCCCCCCAGCACCTCTGCCTGCTATGTGCCTGGTAAATCCCAAAAAAAGCCTGAAAAGCCACCAAAGGCTCCAGGACTTCTCCTTTACCCTGTCTGCTCGGGTCATAGAGATCCTGCTCCATGCCCTTCTGCCCCTTACAAGATCATATTACCTTCTTGCAGCATAAAAATGCTTATGCACTATGTTCAGTATTTGCCTTGTTAACCTTACTATAGATTGTCTTATTGTAACATTAATTTCTAATACATGCTGGTATGCTTTTCATACTGTATTGCTTATGAAATATGGCTGTCTGCTTAATTCTTAAGAACTTTAGAGGGAACATTTCCAGTGGCCTATAATCCTACAAAATAAGCCTTTATTTGTCAAAGGGGTTCCAAAATCATTTTGAATATTGTCATTTTGAATATATTATCTGGACCTCAAATGTGTAATAATTACATTTAAATAATAACTATTTTCAATTCTTTTCCAAAGATTTCAAGGGATGCAAAAAGGATATGAACCTTAATTTAGAAAGAGAAGTCTTTCCAAAATCTTTAGGTAGTCACAGATAGCCCCTTCATAGTTCTACCTGTTAAAGAACTACTGAAATTAGCTTTGAGGATTTGGCAGTAGAATGGAACTTCCATGTTCTTGTTTGTACTTTTTCACTTAGGAAGCAATAGCAATTTTTAATACTAAAAGTCTGGCCAAGTATTTAAAAGCTGTTGAAGAACTGAAAAATAATGAAACCACGGATGTAAAACTGACTTTGGACGCACAGAGCAGAGATGTCTGTGCCAAATGGGAGGTAAGGATGTGCATGTGTGTTGGGGCTTATGCTTATAGATCTGATCCTGGGCCTGTCTGTCATCAGAGGCATTGCTGGCGGTCTCCCCGTCTACTGTGTGTTCAAGAGCAGCTGGTCCCTGCAGACTGTGGTCCCCAGGCCTGGTATCAGCTGGCTCTGTGATCATCAGTGACAACACTGTTCAGAGATTAGAGGGCAGTTGCAGGGGGTCAAAGGGAGAGTCCAAAGGTTTTCTTTCCCTTCTCCCTTGAGCAGTCTCTGGGGCTGTCTCCCTGGCTGTGGGTTCCATGGGTCCCGCTTCTGATGACTGACCTTCCTGTCTGGGTGAGAACAGCTTCCAGCCAGCCTTAACCTCTGGATTGTTTTACAGCCTTCCCTTGGCTTTCTCTGGTTTCCCCTCACTTACATAACCAATTCCCTGAACTTAATTTCTTCTGCCTTAAATGTTACTGCTTTCTGCTTTCCTGGTTGGATCCTGACTGAGACAATACCTTGACACTTATGCACAGTTTCATGGTGAAATACAGGTATAGGCATTGGTGGCAGGCAGCTCTGGACTCAGCAGCTGGGACCCTAGGCAAGTTGCTCAGCTTATAGGAGGTTTTCTGATAAAATGGGAGTAACCCCAATGACTTGGCAACATTGTTATAGCACCTGCCATAGTGATTGTGTTCAATAAATGGTAATTAGTATTAAATATGTTTGTGAATGTGTGTGTGTGTGTGTCTGAGTGTGGAGAGAGAAAAATAAGGTATGCAGGTATGTCTGACTATGTGGAGAGAGAAAATAAGATAATGTATTTGAATTTCTACTGTTACAGGTCCTTTTAAAGCACATTTTAAAATAAACATTTTATTTTAGAAAAAGAAATATTGCAAAGATAGTAGAGACAGTTCCAGTATATCCCATGCCTGGCTCTCCTAGTATTGACATCTTACATTAATATATATATATAGCGCTTTTGTCTCAGTCAGTGGTCAGATATTGATGCATTATCAGCCAAAGTTTATTCTTTATCTGTATCTTCAGTTTTCTCCTAATGTCCTTTGTCTATGCCAGAATCCCATCCAGCACACACATTATATGTTTTGCCTCCATAGATTGCGATAGGTGTTTTGTAGCTATTTTCTCCCAGGCTGCACCTTGTCTTTTGATTCTCTCTAATAGTGTCTTTCACAACTAAAAACACATGTTTAGTTGTTAGAAAGAAAATAATATGAGTCTGGTATATTTTAAAGGACAGACACACAAGAATGAATCAAACTTGCATTCAAGCTCTGCTCCCATCCTTTGTTGCAACAAATATTTTCATTGTGTTTTTAATCAGCACTTTTTTCAATATATTCTGTTCCCATGGTTAATGTGTGCCTTTGTTATCCCTGTAGGCTCTTCATCATGAAATGTCTTTGTATATTCAACAACTAAAAATAGATATTCAAAAAGAAAAACTTACTGACAGCATTTCAAAACTGGAAAGACAAATAAATAAGGAGAAGAAACTAATCCGCAGAGGCAGGACCAAGGGTCTCATCAAGGAACATGAGGTAACCTGTTCCCATTTAAATTTTGTTGTCATTTGGAGTTTATTCCTCAATGATTGTGTATGGTCCTTAGTTTACGGTTGAATCTGCTTTGGAATCTGCTGCCGCCTTGAATTCCCTGGGAATTATCCCTTATGTAGTTCACTTAACTAGAGCCTGTGCTTCTTGCTTTGTAGAAATGAGAAAAACTCAGCACTGAATTAATATTTTATGATTTCTCTTAATATGTCTCAGTGGCCCTTCTCTTCAAGACTGGCTACATGTCGCCTGTTGTGACATTCCCTCAGTTGCTTTGGTGATGATATGGTGTCCCCAGAAGAGCAACTTTTGTGAGAGATAACGAATCAGATATAAACGCTCTGGGGCAAATCTAAGAACCTCTTTTTGGTCCTTAGCCTATTTGTTTGTCTCTAGGTACTTGACAGCATTAACCCCTCTTTATTTCTTTTAAACTTTCTACTGCTGTGCCTCTGTCAGTATCAATCTCTCTTGCTTTTCCTTCTTTTATTTTTTTTGCAGGAAGGAGGTTTCTTTTTAGTGCCCTTCATAAATTTCCTTTTTGCTATGTTAATGTTTTTAGTTTTGGGGTCCCCATTTTTGGCTTATTTCTTGCTTCCTCTGGGTGGTTCTGTGCCCTCTGGGGTTTTAACTGTCCTCTCTGCAATGCTAATGCCTAAATCTTCATCTCCAGCTGAGCCCTTTCCCTTGAGTGACAGCTTCTATTTCTAACTGACTCATAGATATCACCACTGTGCTTCAGAGAACTCATTAATAAGCACGTCGAAAACCAAACCATGTCTCCTCTCAGACTTTCCTCCCTCTTACATATTCTGGTTGGGAAAGGCATTGCAGTCTCCAGCCGCCTTCCCCCCTCCAAGCCCTTCCTTCCTTGGTGGCTTTAATGGAGTTGGAAGCCAAGTTCCATCTGTCACTCTTCAGAACAGCTGCTGCTTTTTCTTCCTTTCCGTCGGTATTTTTACTTCCCTTAGCCCAGGCTACTTTCTCGGTGTGACCAAGGTTGCTCGTCTTCTAGACCCATCACCAGAGTTTCCTTTTTAGCCACATATTTTAAAATTAAATTAATAATTATGTTTACTGAGATAATGGTTTACAACACTGTGTATGCTTTAGGGGTAAAGGTTTACGCCTCTACAAATTTAGGTGTCATACCAGGAGCCACGAATCTTATGTCTCTGGCTCACCATTACTTCCAGCACATCTCTAGACCCTTTGAGGGCTCCTCAGTCCTTCCCAGTCTGGATCCTGGACACTCCATCAGCTTCCCATCTCCTTTGGCAGCCCTTAAGCCACAATGGACTGTCTATTCTTTCACATACTCTGGGGCTCTTCCTCTTGTGGTTGTTCCTCCTGCTAGGAATGACCCCTTTTGCATGGAGCACCTGGATTGTTATTTCTGCATCCAACGCAGGTGGGCCCCCAGGTGCAGTAGGCTTTCTCTGACTCCTTAAGGCAAGTAACGGCTCTGTCACAATACTCCTCATGCTCTATGCTCATTATTTGTGTGACTGCTTAAGGGAGGGAAAAGTTTCCCTTGACCCTCATAGGGTCTCTGGCCGGGTCTGACAAGACAGATAAGCAGGAGAAAAGCATATAAGTTTTTTTGCATATTTACATGTACATGAGAATCTCACAAGTAGTCAAGTGGCCTCACAAGACAAAGTAAGTGACAAGAACAGGAAGCTTTATGCCTTTTAAACAAACAATAAATGTGTGAAGAATCACAAGACACAGGGGTTTTAGGTTAGGAATAGTAAATGGTGAAAACATAACTAGGAGGAGAAGTTGGTTTCAAGGGTTTATTTGCAGGTTCTTTTGGTGCTCTCTCTGGGCTGACATCTGTCTCTCCAGTAAAAGGAGACTTGATTTTCTGCCTTTTGGCAGAAAAGGGGGAAGTTTTCCTTTCCTGTGTTTGTTCTTTTCTTTATTTTTATTGTGGTAACATGGGTTTATTTAGGTTTTAGTATGCAGTCTTAAATCAAAATCTGTGTGTATGTATATTTTAATTGCCTTACCTCAAAAAATTTTTGATATCAAAGGCATGTTTTGGGGGTGACATTTTCTGGTTTCCTTCATCCCATAATTGGACTACGATGACTCCGTTTAGGACAGACTTCCTCATTGAGTCTCTCCAGCAGCCATTACTATGCCGGGCACACAGTGGACGGCCTGTAAAAGAATGTGTTGTGCGTGTCTCACATGTCTGTTAACCTGTAATCCTTATAGACTAATCATGTAAACTCATTTGCAACACATTTCCTGCTTTCTCGTCTCCATTAGGCCTGCTTTTTCTGAGGAAGGCAGTCTGTCCCAGCTTGATCACCACGTGGCGCTTCCTGCGGGAGCTGTGTGAGGAGCTGACGTCACGGGACAGTCAGCAAGAAGTGAGGCGGGCGCTCAGGAGACTATGAACAAAGGGGAAGCAAGACTACGCAAGTGCGCCCTGGAGGTTCACATGACACTGCAGTCCACAGTGGGAGGCCCGTCGAGGAACAAGTGCGTGCATCCTAAAAGCACTGCTTGGGGGGAAGGAGATAAAGCCTCTTGCAAAATAGAACACATTGAATATTATTCCTTTGCCTTGAGGCTTCATTTTCCTCTCTCTGTTTTATTTATTTTTTAATTTTTTATTTATTTTAATTTTAATTTTTTTGTAAAGATTTATTTATTTATGCATACAAGAACTGGGGTACAGGCCAGAGGTGGGGGGGGGTGAGAGGATTCACAAGAGACAGAGGGGGAACAGAACAAGCAGATTGACTGAAATAACTCTGCTGAGGGGAGCAGTGATCGAGTCAGGAGAGGGTCTGCTGCACCATGTGGGTAGCTCCCCTGGCTGGGGGATTGAACTCGTGCTGCAGAGGCTGCGGATTACTTCATAGTGTGGTGCTTACCCCTTGCGCCACCAGGGAGGCCCCCCTCTCTCTGTTTTATATGCAATTTTGATTCCTTCTTAAGGGGGACCGTGAACACATCTGAGAATGGAGGAAGCAGTGCCTGCAATGAGGACCCTTCCTGCAGAGTCCCTTCATCAGCCACCTACTGAAAAGGTGTTCTGTGTAGGCAATGTATTTAGAAATAAACCCAGTGAAAGAGGCTAGATGTATAATAGCACACATTTCATTAATTGAATGTTGGTTTTATGATCTGATTGTTTATATCAGTTGAGAATTCCCACTTAAATAAGGCAAGGAATACTGCTTTTCAAAGACTTAGAAAATATAAGTAACCAAGAATAGCATAACTTAATCTTCCCTGAGGATACAAATAGTTCTTTCAAAAAGAGAGCGTTTTAGATCCACTATGAATTGACACATTCTGGGCTCCCACTACTGAGGGGCACAAGACATTGAGTTTAATCTGGACAGATGCACTGAGCTGGACTACTTCATGTGTCATTTATCTTTCTCTGACTTTAATGTCTTGAACTTGCCTGGGAATTGAATTTTCTAAATTCTTGAATTCTAGGTAAGTACATTGACTGTATATTGTAGCTCAGCTGCCGGTCAGAAGGGTGAGGAAGGAAGGAGGTGTATTTGTTTTCAGAGGTCTGCTCCTGTTATTAGGTTTCTGTCTTACCTTTGACTATGTCTTTGTGGTGGCAGCTGAAGCACACTGAGGGGTAGAACACCCCTTCATTCTGCTGACATAAGACATGCATCCCCTTTGTCCTCTGGGGAGGCCTTTCTCTGAGCTGACAAACCCAAATTGTATGATTTCCTACTTTGAGGTATAGAATAGGAATCATGATATACTTTTGTATAATAACATGTTTACTTTTTGAACATTGAATTAATGAAGATATTACTGTTTATGCATATTTGCTAGGCAATGGAGTCTGAAGATCTTAGCCTGGAATCAGAATTAAAGCCTCAACAGGAAAAAACATTATCAAGAAGTATGAAAAGATCACAATGCACCCATAAGTAGTTTTACTCGAAAGGTAAACACTTCACAACTGGAAATACCAGACCAAAATCATTTCATGAACACACACATGTTTTGATAAGCTTTTATTACCCT